TGCTGGAACGGTGCCTCGACCGTGAGCCCAGTCTCCTTTTTGATTTGTTGGACACTGATCCCAATCCAGAAGACCCCCCTCCTCTACAAACTCTGAGCTGGTGTGTCTGCGGAAAGTGCAGGGACATGCCTACTCTAATAGAGCGCAAGTGCTGTGGAAAGCCACCACAACACTGTATATCTTTGATGCCACACATGGACCTGTTTATTTTAGAGGATGGTGTTCTGCGACTTGCTCGCAGAATTTGGAATGACCTGCGGGCTGAGGAGGACTCTCAAGAGCTTGGAGAAAGCAATCGGCAGTTTAGATTTGCAGCCTACAGACAGTTTGTAGTGTGGAGGTACGGTATTCTTGGAAGAGGTAACAGGATAGTTATACCAAGTTGCTGTGTGTGGAAAATCCGTGACCGTTATAGAGATCCACATGATAATTATGTTGGCTTTGTTCCTTCAAGACAATATGTTTTAGATTGAGTTACTATCACATATTTACTGTAACCTTGTTTTATGAGTGTGTGCAATACCAATAAATATATTTTGTTAGACATTTTCCTTTTGCTTTGTCTTCCTTTAGTAATGTCAATAATGTTCATAAAAGTAAAACAATCTTAGAAATAATATTATTTTAATAAAGAACACACACAATTTTACATCACTATACACAGTTACAGTCAGAGGTCATGCCGGTCACATGTTTTGAGTTTTATTCAGATGCTTGCCCTGTTTGGAAACAAATAAAAGTTAGTTCATAAAAAATAACAGTATTAGCATAGTGCTGATAGATTTTTTTTCCCACTGCTACCTCTAACAAGTACTATTTACAATAGCTGTGATGAATGAAACTTTTGTACTACCAGTAGATATTTGTAGAAATAAGTATATTCTATTTAAATTTGTACTTGATGTACAGCCAACTTACATAGCCCTCTGCTGACATGTTGCTGCTCCAGCTCTTGTATTGTTGGGGCAATGCCACCTGCTAGGGGCCCAAGCGTTCGTGGATCCTCGGGTCTTAATGGGTGACTATCTGCCATTCCTCTCTGGGACAAAAGCCTTGATTGGAGTATGAGTGCCTGCAGATCAGGGATGTACTTGTACTCTTTTGGGGCTTTGTATGTGTACAGACGCCACATCTTTGTCCTCTTGCTGTAAAGCTTTCCCTTTCTAGACAGAAACACACAACTGGTTATAAATTTACACCCAGCTATGTGCATTATTTTTTCAAATGTAAATGCTATATAAATATATGATTGTTGTTTGGAAACACATACTGTGTGGAGCCATCCTTTTTCCTCCTGGGTCCTCTGTTTAGGTGACTGTTGTAGTCCAAAGATGCCAAGTAGACTCGTGCCTCATAAACCTTCTTGGAGAATGCAAAGCGTTTTCCAGCATACATCAAGATATGATTGTGGAATGACTCCAGCTCTGCAGTGGACCTTAGTGCGACAATATGTGTATTCAGGTCATATTTTGGTTTAAAAGTAAATTAGGACTGCAAGTATACAAATGTAACATCAGAAGTGGGTAGTTGTATGAGGCTATGATGATGTCAGGCTGCTGGCCGAACCAACTAAATGAGGAGGTAAATTTTAGATGGTCAAAAGAAGGCTTCAGATATCTGGGAGTGATCTTAACACCAGAAACAACAACGTTGTATAGTTCTAATTATAAAAAACTAATCTCACAGGTCAAAATAGATATAGAGAGGTGGCAGATTCTTCCTCTATCTCTGATGGGGAGGATTGAAACTATAAGAATGAATGTACTGCCTCGATTTCTCTTTCTTTTTCACTCTCTTCCAGTGGCAGTGCCCCAGTCCACCTTCAAATTTTTGGACAGACTAATAAGCGCATTTATTTGGCAAAATAAAAGACCCAGAGTGAGACTTAAGGGTCCTCCACTTGACCAAGGACAGGGGTGGCCTAGCCCTTCCGCACCTTAAAAGTTATTATTTGGCAGCACAACTTAAAGCTCTAGTCTCATGGTCTAGATCAGAAATGGAAACAAAGTGGCTGTCACTAGAACAATCGTCAGTGGTGGGTAAACCATTATCAGCCCTCTTATTCATGGACAAAAAGCAATGGAAAAAACTCAAAATACAAAATGATTGTGTATTGTTCACCTTGGGGGTTTGGGGAAAAATTAGGAAACAATTTAAATTGCCAATATCTTTATCAAGAGCATCTAAAATAATTGAAATAGCAGATTTTCTTCCAGCAAGACTTGATGGATGTTTTACTAGATGGGCTAACAACGGATTAACAATTATCAACCAGCTGATTAAGAACACGGTAATTAAATCTTTTTCTCAAATTCAACAGGAATTTAACATCCCTAGTAGTGATCTTTTTAGATTTTTCCAAATACGACATTATATCGAGAAACATAAAGAATATGACAATATCAGACAACAACAAACAACCTTTGAACAGTATTGGATAGATGTAGCAGAAGGGAAAAAATGCATGAAGAAAATAATTTCCACATTGTATAAAAATATACGTTTGGCACAGGATGAAAGCACGCTAGATGTGAAAAATAAATGGGAACTGGAACTTAATGTGGTTGTCTCTGACATGGAATGGGAAAATGCTTGGGAAGAGTGGCAAAAATGTCTTAGTAGTCAAAACTGGAGAGAGTATAGTTGGAAACTAAGAATGAGATTTTTCAAAACCCCAATAATTACAGCTACTTATAACAGGGACATCAGCGCCCTCTGTTGGCGAAAGTGTGGACACATTGGTGACTTCTCTCACATTTTCTGGGAATGTCCGGTAATAAAGGTCTATTGGGATAATGTGACTAAAGAAATAAAGAAAATATTGAATATTAATACACAATTCAAGGTGCAACATATTATTCTGTGTGGTACAATGAATGATGCTTGCTTGGGATACAGACAAAATGTACATGTTAAAAGTGCTCATATTGATTGCACACAAAGTAATCACTGCGAACTGGTTAAAGCCACTCCCACCGACGGTGGAGCAATGGACTCAGCGCCTAAGGACTGTGAACTGTATGGAGGACATAACATCAGTACTGAAGCTGAAAAGAGAAATCTACATAAGAAAATGGGCTTGTGTAACTTCCTATCTTGAAAATGTCTAAACATCTTGGTTACTGTTAAGCGGACCTGGGCATGTTGAGGCCTGGGGGCCAAGTAAAACCACTAAACACCTTTAGAAAGGCCATGGAAAATCTTTAATTTTGAATTTTTTATATTTATTGACCAATCCCAAGACACTTTAAGTAGTGTTTATCACTTTTTGTCACAGCTTTGTCATTTTTTATTTTTATTTTGGTATTTTATTTTGGTAGTTTTACACAGGGTGGCTCTTTCTAGTCTTTTTGGTACAAAACATACTAAATTATGGAAATATTCAATCCAAATACCACATTTTTCAAGGTTTCATCAAAATGACGGGGCTGTGATCAGGATCAGAACCAGCACTTACAGTTCAGTCCTCCATCTTGTTATGGATGTCTACTGGCCCTCTGGTCATAATACATGCCCAACCCTGCTGTAAACCCTACTGAACAAATGGCTAATGCCATTTCTCTGACAAAGAAACAATTTGTAATGTCAAGCACGATCTTGTATGCAATTATGTGTGGAAAAATGTCAAGGTATTGTTAATAAAAGTTCAAAAAAAAAAGAAGTGGGTAGTTGTCAGTTACATTTACTTTGAGTAAAAGTTTAGGTTAATCTTCCCCAATGATAACTCCATAATTGACAAAGCTTTGTGTTGACAGTATGAATTTTTTTTTTTCCTTCCAATTACATCAACTTGAAATTATAAATCAGAAGTTACACTCTTACAATTAATGTTGCTTGATTATTTTCCCCCTTGGATCACAACGTTGTGCTTCTCCTTACTATGGAGTAAATTTTTTGGCTACTTTACCCATCTCTGTGTAACACATAAGGTTACCTAAAAGACAGGAACTTTGTGACAGTCTTCAGCCATCGTGAATCCAGCACTAAGTCACGTAGCTGCTGGTGAGCCACGGAGCCCTTTGGAATCAGTGGCTTGTTCATTTCGCTTTCCAAGGGGTCATGATGGCAAGAGCCAAAGTACCATTGATGAACACCAGTCACATGGTGTAAAAGTCCAGTCCATAGGTCCTGAAGTATAAGAAATATGATTATTACTGTAATTCTTGTATGAATAATGACATTTTGTATAATCCCTCATTCATCCAGGGATGCACCTGAGTAGAAATTTCTACAGTGTAAAAAAAAAAAGATATAAAATTACATCTTTATTTTATAGTTACCATGAAGTGTTCATATGTTTCAGCTGTTTTACAGCAGTACCAGAAGTGGTTCGTTATATCCCTGTTCCAGGTGAGCAGCAAACGGCACTCCTTTTGACGTCCAGCCTAATCACACAAACAAATTAGCATACAATGTCAAAAATTAATTCATAATATAAAAATATGTATTCATTATAAAAATCAACATACAGCCAAAATCTTTTTACTCAGATTTTTAGCACCATGCCAGATATCCAGTGAGTGTTTTATTCCTTTGTCTTTGTATTCTCCATGCTCTGTAATTAAACAAATCCACAAATTATATCACTAATATTCACCGCAGACTTACCACAGAATCTTTTCAAAATATAAGCCACTTACTAAACAGTGAAGATATCTGTGAATGTGCATCAGTGCAAACTTCTTTGACTGTCAAGTCTTTCATGATTTCATCCATGCATTTTAGGAAACAGTGCTTCTCGTTGGTGACAGAGTTTCTTTGGGTCTCTCGTTTGTCAGAGTTGTGCATGTACACAATCTTCTTTGTGTCATTGTCCATCATGGTGTACGTGCAGTACTGTGCACAAAATCCTGGACTATCCATCCAACCATCACCTTTGCATAGAAAAAAGGCCAATAAAGAGTAAGTGCTTATGAAAGGCATGTGACAAATTCACATTAGTAACTGTATGTAATAAAGTGTAAATCACTCACCAAGCAACACAACAGGGTCTTTCTCTTTTAATCCATTAATGATCCCTTCAGTGTCTTTCTTCCAGAAGTTGGCAATGTTATCTGTGGCAATGTGTCAACACAAAATGGTTGTTTCTGTGCACCCCCAGCCCTGTGGTGTGAAAATGCAAATGCCATTAAGCTGGGTGTGACAGGAAAAGAACAATCTGATCAGTCTTGTACCCCCAAATATGTGCCAAGTAGATTCTTTGTGTTGGGGGTTGGAGTAAAACATTTCACACTCATCAAGCCAATGCCATACATACATAGGAAAAAAACAAAGTACCTTAGACAAATTGGTGGTATGTACTCTAGATCTTGGCTGTCATCAGAGGCAGAGTCCACCTCCTTTGTCTCGTCCTCTTCAGAGGAAGACTGTGTTTGAGATTCCATTTCTGGAGTCCAGGTTTCGTCATCCCAGTCAATACTAAAAGCAATCAATTATTATAATTTACAGTCAATCGACAAATGCAGAGATGTTAAAATTACATACATAGTATTTTGGAGATTGTTGAATTCTTCCTCATCTATGTCTTCTACTGGTTCATCTCTGGAGGTGGAGGGTCTGTACAATTTAAACAGTATGTTACAATGTGAACAAATTCATACATTATAGAATGAAGTGACAGGAGGTGCTTATTATAAGGAAAGTTATAACTTATATTACCTAGCTTTTTTATATGGTCCAGAAGTTTGTTCTTCACCACTACTGCCACTGGAAAACTTTTCAACCCCTTTCATTGAAAAATCTGCATCCCTGAAAAGTGTACACTTTTTAGAGCTGTACAAATCATTTAAGATTAAGAAATATTTTCTTGAGAAAATACTGACAATAAATATTCTTCCCCAACAAACACTGTATTGAAATAATAACCAACAAAACAGAAAATAGTAGACATAGACAAGACAAGATATTTTTGTAAGTAACTTACCTGTCTAAGAGCGATTCCTGCACAATAGTGGAAACCGGAGGCTGCGGGGGTCTCACCCATCGAGTCTGAGGTAGTGGCGTAGAGGTGACATTATCATAACTGCAACGACATTCAGAGTTATAATAATGTGTTGTGTGAGAGTAATGTATGCTGTGCAAAATCAGTGCACCCCTAGAAAACAAGTCCTCATCGCGGCACATGACTTGTAAACAACTAACTACAGTGTTGGTTAGGCAAGGCGGAGAAGTGAGGAGCGGGGGGAGGGAGTGCGCGGATATTTCGTGCACGGACAAGAAGTTAGGAGCGGAGAAGAGCAGAACGGGGAGAGGAGAGAGGAGAGGGGAGCGGTGCGAGGAGATTCCGTGCCCGGAGAAGTGAGGAGCAGGGGGAAGAGCGGAACAGGCAGCGGGGAGAGGAGCAGGAAAGGGGAGCAGAGAAGGTTGCGCGGAGATTCCAGTGCGAATGAACTAGCTACAAACACACAGCAGCAAGCGGACTCTTTCTTTGCCTTGAAAATTACGTTTTCATACATAGGATATCACATTCGTGTCCTGAAAAACGTTTGTCTAGCTCTTGGAAATAAGTACGTTTTCATAATAAGCAGAAGTTACCTGTCCAGAAGTAATTTGGCGACCAGTGCGTCAGTCTTTAGACCCTGCGTCTGCTTCAGTTGCGCCATCGCTGGAATGAATCTATAAGAATCACCTTAGTTTGGCTTCGCAACTTTTCCCCTTGTCTTCTTCTTTCAGCGACCTCAAAAACGGACTTTCTTTTGCGGCTAACTGCTCCTGGATTCTTGTCTGCCATTGCAACAAACTTTGTGCTAACTGCGAGGAAGATATAGGTCAAAAAAAGCCGCTAAGAACTGTTGCGTTGGTGGTGGAGTAAACAGCGTCTGTGCGTCTTGCGTCTGTGGACTGCGTGACAGGCGTACATAAACCACGTAACGGCGGCGCGCAGGCAAGTCAGTTACACTAGAAACGTAGGGAGATTGATTGACAGCCTGTCAGCTAACAGATAACGAGGCAGTGTCGTTATCTATTGGCAAATGTTTAGCCCCACCACGTCCAGAGTTGATGAATTTTTATTCTCTTTTTTTTAGTCATCATAATTACAAGGCTACTGCATCTCCAAACCAAAAAAAATCCTCCATACAACCTTTAAAATGTTCACACTGACAGCTGCGAGAGGGCGCTCTAGGCTTGTGTGTCAGTATCTGCTACAGCTATTACTCCTGTACCACTGTCACTTGGCTCTACTGTGCATGTCTCCTGCAGAAAGAGCCTCTGTCCTGTCTGTATCATGTCAGTCAATTGTACCATTACTTCTGTACCACTGAAAATTTTTAATTTAAATAAACTTATGAAGACAACTGAGAAGACTGAACATAAATGTCCCCAAAAAGAAAATATTTTTTTGCAGATTACAAACTGCAACTAGCAAAATATGCAGCTGGAAATGATAATCGACCAGCAAAATGAAAGTCTGGAGTGAGCGAGAAACTCGTGACAACCGGGAGGGTGCACCATGCAACTTTCCTGAAAGACACTGGATGGATTGACAAAGCCTGGACTTCAGTGACACCGAAACCATCCTGTTGGGATTCAGAAAGGCCGGAATAATTCTAACGAACTGATTCTGAGTCTGATGACAGCTACGCAGAAGAGGAAGCGGCGCTCCGTTTACCTGCGGTAGTGACACCGAGGATGAAGAATTCAGTGGATTCAGTGATTTGGAGTGAGATGGAGAGTTTGGTAAACTTGTTCTGTTCTGTTGTTTGTGCTACAGTTATCTGAATAACTGTTCATATGAGACGTTAACAGTCTGTTGTTTTCTATTTGATTGTTATTACTCTAACTTGCTTTTCAAGATGAAATGTTGGTTTCTGGTTTCTGATTTTATAAAATAAATTTCCCTCAAAAAGTGTGACTTATAGTCCAAAAAATACAGTAATAGTGATAAACTTTATCAGCCCTTGCGACCACCACCAGAACGAACACACACAACTTTCATACAACGCAATGTGAATGAAGTGTCTTGCCTAAGGACACAATAACAGCTTCTGCTAAAGTGACTGATGCCCCACTGTAGCACCTGGTGTTCCCAGCAGCCTCCCATCTAAGTACTTCAGTGTAATCTTTCACTTTTGTGGTACATTTTACTGCCCACGTATATTTTACCCCTACCACACATTTATTGAGTCATTTAGTGTATTTCTGGTGGATTGCACAAATACCTTCTTTTATCGAGGATCCCAAAACATATTGTGTGTAAATGTACTTAATTTGTGAATATTGTAGACCTATCACAAGAACAAATTTTGAAGTGTGATATATCGCTGAGGTAAATATAGACAATAAATTATAATAATGAAACTAAGAGCAGATCTGAACAGGAGTTTCTGTAAACTCCATACAAAACTAATATGCACCAACTAGAGTTTTGTTTTGATACCACAAGACTCAACAATAGATTGGTGATCTAACATTCAGTCTAGACAGGTTTGTGAGTGTTCAAAGTTTTTGGAGGATAGATGGTTGACGACTCAGTTTATGAAATGTGAAGTACACGCTCTCCTTCAACAGACAGTATTGTTTATAGCACAGAAACTATTCTAAATGTACAATATTGTTTAAAAAAATAGCTGCAACACTGCAATGAGCTGAAACACTTTAGTACAGTACTCCTTCTACTTTAGTCTGTAATGAGTTCCTTATACAGCTTAAGTGAGGTGACCCGAGAGGTTAGCACTCACGCTTCACAGCAAGAAAGTTTCCTGCCTGGGCCTTTCTGTGTGAAGTTTGCATGTTCTCCCTGTGTGTGGATGGATTCCCTTTGGCCACTTCGGTCTCCCCATCAACCTAAAACATGCTTCATATACAGTATCCTACAGTTGAAGTAGTCCGGACCAAGACAAGCAACAAGACCTTGGAGAAGATGCGTCACCAGACGTGCCAAGTGCTCCTGAGGTGCCCCAGTGGTACTGAAGGATGGGTCAAATGTAGAGGACAAATTTCCCTATGGGGGTTATAAAGTGTACCTTAACCAACTCTCATAGCCAAGAAATAACCCAAAATTCACCAGTAGTGCAAAGAAAGTGTACACATGATAAATATTGACCCCAAAGAAATTGTTCCATATTTCACATAATGAACGAGAAGTCGATATAGTAATTATCTTAATAGGCCTAGAATACTGTCCACCTAAACTCTGTGCTAAACATGGTATAATGAATTTTAATAATATATATAAATGTCCTGTTTGAAAGTGTTAAGAATTCTTCACACAGTCTTGAACATTGCAAAGGCTCAGCTGCATTTTGTCTAGAGTTTTTGTGTCAAACAGTTTGTGCAGATTTTGTCATTATTGATCATACTTAAATTGCTATATGAGCTTTAAGCCAAATTAGAATGTTATCTCATCAAAAACATACCTGGAGTTGTGTTTTGTTTCATTCACACAAGTGTCAGTAATCCTTTATTATTAGTCAGTCTAGATCTCCAATGCTTAATTCCGGAGTTGCAATCACCAGATAATTACAGTGAAGGTGTTTGGAGTTTAAAAACACAGTGGAGCACTTGTATTACCATATGACATCACAAGGTGGTACAGTGTCAGCCAAAGTATTAGGGCTGGGTATCATTCAGAAGTTGCCGATACGTAGTCCATGATACAATACGCGTCTCGGTACAGTGAGTTTATGATTCGATATGATAAAAATACAATATATTTCAATTTGATTCAATACGGTTCAATTAAAAATAATGGCTAAATCATGGCTGCGATGATAGAAGTCTTTGTTAAACCACTTCTTGTGCAAAGTTAATATGAAACACACACATTTTAATCCTCAAAACAGTGAAAATGTCAAATGTGTTGCATAAAACCAAAAATACTCTTGGTGATATATATCGATACAGCAGCCCATAATACCTATATTGTATCATCACATGAAACGATACGATATACTGATATTTCCATATTTTGCATGCAGGGTTTGTGTGTTTGTGTGACTAAAGCAAAACACAGCTCCATTTATGTTTTTGATGAGAAAAAATATAACAGATCAGAAAATAGTGCAATATGGGGCCTTTAATACTTACATCTGTGCACATAGGGAGGAGTAATTCAACTCTCTAAAATCTTGTCTCGAACCAAGCTGAAGTTGTGCATGTAAAGTAAAGTCTCTCCATCTCCTCCACACACAATTTCAAAATTAAACAGACTAAAGCATTGAAATAGTTTTTGTGTGTTTGGTCTCCACAGCGTTGGGAGCTTGTTTGTCATGATAAAATGATCGAATAAAAAAACGTCATCCTCCGGAACTGTAGGAGGCAGCATGAAAGGGGCCCGTGGGTTGTGACAATTCTATAAACTCTATCACGGATGACAACAAGATAAGTCCTCAGAAAACTGGGAACATCCAAACATTGAGTTAACAATGTGGGGTGCAGTGAACTGTGAGTGCTGCAGCTACGGAGACAAAAGGGTACCAAGCGTTCAGTGAATAAGTGCAGATTTGGGCTTTTATAAACAAGACTCAGTGTTTGTGTGAATCAAGTCTTTCCAAGTCTTACAAAACCGTTCTCGAAGGAGGTGCCTCAAGTGGAACTGGAAAAAAAAAACGATTCAATGTTGTTGTTTTTGAAAGGGCCCATTCTGATCTATGTTATAATGTTGTTTCCTCATCACAAACATGCACGGAGTTGTGTTTTGTTTCATTCACTCATGTTTAACTTATAAATCGTGCACATTTAGGTTGAGATCTTTTCAGCACTTGAAAACTACTGCCTCATGACATCACAAGGTGGAACAGGGCATTTTGAGCTTTGGAGATGTAGACAGACTAATAATTCAGGGTACCGCAAACACACGTGGATGAAACAAAACGCAACTCCGAGTATGTTTTTGAGGAGGTAACAACGTTCTAACATGGCTTAAAGTTCAGAAGAGTCAAATTTGTGTAATATCGGATGCTTAAAATGACTGTACACATTTTTTCATTTTGTTTGTTGCTGTTATATTGAACATTTAGGCTAGCAACCTAAACACATTTGACTACAGCCTATCCTCCCATCTGATTGTCTATGAATGTGTTT